CTTTTTACAGGCAGCAAGCATAATTTTCAATATGTATCTATCTTCTTTCATCACATTTCCCGTAATGACACCAAAGTATAATAATGTACAAGTCTTAGATACAGCATAACCCGAATTTTACCTATAACTAAATGAACATCTTCCCAAAATTTTGTAATCTTGGGACAGAACCAGAACACATGGGAATGATTCACATTTACCTCTCCACAGCTCCTCCAACACGGTTGTGGTAATGAAGTATGTTTGTTCTTAATTTTGGGTGTTATAAAAAATCTAATTACATTTTTCCAGCAGTGCAGTATCCAGGCACGTGATGATGTTGTTGACTGCTGTATTTTCCAGGTTTGTGACCATTCCTCATCAGATATGTTCACTCCCAACTCTCTCTGCCACTTCAGTTTTACATATGTTGTTGTACACCCTCTTGCCTCCATTATATGCTCGTAAATTGTAGAGATTATTCTAATTTTTTTTGCTTTGTAAACTTCAGTTATGGTTTTAATTATCGAATTTTTATCCAGATCTACACTATATTTTACTTCTTTATTAAAAAAAGTCCCTAATCTGTAAATATCTGTAGTGATCTTGATTACTTAGGTCATATTTTTGTTTAATCTCCTGGAAACTCATAAAATTCCCATCTTTAATTAGTGTACACATTGCTGTTAATCCAGTAGGAATCCACTGTTTAAATCTTTGGTCCATAGAACCGGGTGTAAAACCCTTATCATAGGCTATCCATCGGATTAATCCAAGCTCATTTTCTAGTTTGTATTTTCGTATCAGGTTAAACCATATTTTAAGCGTAAACTGAGTGACTGAATTCAGCTGTTTAATTACTCTTATTGTTTCTTTTCTGTCTCCTATAAGGCTTTGAATTTTTCTTCCTTGTACTGATTTTTCTAAATTCTTCCATTTGGCTTCATAATCATTGTCACACCAACAAATGATGTACCTGATTTGTGCAGCATAAAAGTATGCCTCAAGATTTGGGAGTGCCAAACCCCCCTTATCCTTTCTTATCTGTAGTGTTTCAAATTTAATTCTCGGTCTATGACCATTCCATATAAACTTGGATATAATTTTGTCCCATAATCTAAATTGTTTTTCAGGTATATCAACGGGTAGTGACTGAAAAAAGTAGAGAAGTCGGGGTAAGACACATACTTTTATCGTCTCTATTCGAGCGCCAATATCTGATGGAAGAGTAGCCCACCTATCCAAATCACTCTTAATTTCCTTATCTAAGTTAACGTAGTTAAGTTTATATAAGTCCTCAACGTTTTGTGATAAGGTTACCCCAAGATATTTCATTTTTGTTGCTCTCCAATTCAAATTATATTTTTGTTTTATGGTTTTGGAAGGGAGAAAGTTGAATGTTAAAATCAGAGTTTTATTCAAGTTAAGCTTGTATCCTGAATAAAAACCAAATATCTTGAGTTGCTTAATTAATATGGGAATACATATGTCGGGATCCTCTAAAAAACAGATCACATCATCTGCAAAAAAGTCCTATAATATGTTCCTCATCCCCCACCACTATTCCTTTAAGATTTCTATTTTGCCTAATTGCTTGTGCAAGGGGTTCTATACAGATTGTGTATTATTAAACAAGTTCACACAAGTGGCGTTATCAGGTGTGAATGGTCACTTTTCTTTTCAAAGCTAGAATGAACTTCATGGATGTAATGGTTGGATAACATTGTATCTCCACTAAAATAAAAAAATAAATAGTGAAAGTCTTTAATGAAGTTTTTTGTGTGTCTGCAGTCTGTCAGGCTGTCTGATCACAGAGGAAGGCTTTACTTCTCTGGCCTCAGCTCTGAGCTCCAACCCCTCCCATTTGACAGTGCTGGACCTGAGCTACAATCATCCAGGACACTCAGGAATGAAGCTGCTGGAACTGAAGGATCCACGCTGGAAACTGGACACTCTCACGTAATGTCTGATAGAAGAGGAGGAGCTGGATACATTTCTTGTGTCCTTCACTGAGTTACTAATTGATATTATGTTACAAATTACAAATGCAGAACCATTTTTTGTTTATTCTGAATAGGACACTGGTCTAGTTTAAAAACATAAGGAAATTATTTAATTAATTAATAATGAGATATTTATGAAAGTATACTGCAGTAACTTTTATAAGAGCAGTGATAAATGTAATTTCTTTCTTTCACTATTTGGGTAGATTTCTTTGTAATTATGCAGTAAGTTTTAAAAAAATATTTTTCTTTAAGAAAGGTACTTTCTTCATCACACCTTTCTGCTTCAGACAGGTGTGATGAAGAAAGGGCTGCATAAGAAATATAATATGCTTCCCAAACATGACAAATCCCAACAAATTACAGCTTTGGTTAACCACCTGAATAGATATATCAGAGAGAAAGAAGCTGGGAAAATAAACCAGCTGTTCTTGTCTGAACCATCCAAGGTGGCAGAAGATATTTATGAGAACAATCCCATCAAGACTGGAGATTGTTCAATACTGAAAAACCATATGAAGGACCAGTGTAACACATAACAACATAATGACAATATAATACCTCATACAAATGACAGGGATTGGGCAGGAAGTCATATGTTTCAACACATCTTTACTCACAATATTTTATTGAGTGATTGTGGATACAGTTTAGAAAAAAAGTAAAGAAAAGGGAAACACAAAAACTGTTTACATTGAATACAAAACAGATCTTCTCATGTTAGAACATAGGTTAAAAAAACATTTACAAAAAACCCACAACCCAGGAGGGATGGTTGATACAAAAAAAAAAACATTCCTTACAAACCATCAGGAGTTAGCAGCAACACCACTGAGCTTTACATTCCCATAAACACAGACACACATCGAATCTCTATGGAAGAAGAAAATCTGTTAGTCAGCAGGAATGTTTAGAGAAGTTTCCAGAAACAGATCCCAGATTTTATCAAATGTGCCCTTTTGGTTCTGGGTGGAGCAGTGGATCTTTTCAAGACTGAGACATGACATGAGATCAGCAACCCACTGTACATGGGTGGGTGGGTCAGCAGCGTTCCACCTCATCGAAATGGTACGCCTAGCCAGAAGATAACCAAAGGACAGCACCCAACGTTTTGCCCCAGTAATATACTTATCGATCCTCACCCACTGTACCAAAGAGAGCCAGTAGGGGGTTGAGAGTCAGTTTCAGCCTGGTAGCCTTGTTCAGAGTGCAGGAAATCTCCTTTCAAAAACTTGCCAAGGCAGGGCAGGTCCAAAACATGTGGGCAAGATTGGCATCATCAGACCCACACCTGTAACAGTGAGGGTCTTAGCTAGGATAAATCTTATCTAAATTGGATTTAGATAATTGGGCCCTATGGACTACTTTCAATTGTAATAGGGAGTGGCGAGCGCAGAGTGACGTGGTTTTTACCAGAGAAAGGACTGAGTCCCAAACATCATCTGACATAGATATACGCAACTCCTCCCATGTGGATTTTAAGCCTTCAAGGGGAGCTGAGGTTACACTCCACAGTTTGTTATAGATGCGGGAGATTATAAATTTGCCTGATAGTTGCAAACTAAGGAGTTCGTCCAGTAAGTTAGCAGCTAGAGGTTCTGGAAAATTGGAGAGGTGGGATTGCAAAACAAATATCTGAGTTGTAAATATCTAAAAAAGTGAGCTTTGTGAAGAGTGTAGTTTGCTGACAGCTGATCAAATGATGCTAGTTTATTGTGTATAAAGAGATCTTTTAAGTAAATAATACCTGCTCTAAACCAGATCTTAAAACCAAGTTGTCTAAAGTCGGAGGGAGGAATAGGTGATTTGATAGGATGGGACTTTGAAGTGAAAAATGATTAAGGTTGAAATGTCTCCTGAACTGAGTCCACAGCCCGAGGGAGTGCTGAATTATCGGATTAGATATAAGGTTTCTCCAGACTTTAACCAGTCGGTCAGGGAGCGAGTATTGGCAGCCCAATAGTAAAAGCTAAAGTTGGGGAGTGCCAGACCCCCGTCAATCTTAGGTTTCTGTAAATGCACGTTAGCTACTTGAGGCCGTTTACCCTTCCGAATGTAGGAGGAAATGTTAGAATTAAGGGTTGTAGAGAAAGACTTGGGGATAAAGATTGAAATAAGTATGAAAACCAAGGAAGGATATTCATTTTAATTGAATTAATTCATCCGACCAGAGCTGTGTTCAGGGATGACCACTGTAGTAGGATTTGTTTGAGATTCTTCAATAGTGTAAAAAAGTTGGCTTTGAGAAGTTGTTTATACTTTCTTGTAATTTTAATACTGAAGTAGGTAAACTGCTCTTTGACCAGTTTAAAAGGGAAACCAGACAAATCTATTTGAAACGCTTCTTCATTTAGTGGACAAAGTGGACAAAGTTTACACTTGGACATGTATGTGACTGAATCATGTGAGTAGTGACAGTGTAGACGGTAGGGAAGTATGTGGATTTGAAATATAAAGCAATAAATCGTCAGCATAGAGAGAGACTTTATGTTCAGTTTGACCTCTTTGTATACCCTGAACACGTTTACTGCTTCAAAAAAAGCATTGCTAAGGGTTCAATAGCTAGATCAAATAACAATGGGCTAAGGTGGCAACCCTGTCGTGTGCCTTCTTTAAGGAATAATTTTGATTTCTGGCTATTAGTGCAAACTGAAGCAACAGGAGACAAGTATAGGTTCTTGATCCATGAGATGAAATTGGGACAAAAAAACAAATCTTTCCAGCACAGCAAATAAATAGTTCCATTCTAGACAGTCAAACGCTTGCTCTTCATCAAGGGAAAGAACACATTCTGGAGTGTCGCTGGATGGTGTGTACAGAATATTGAGAAGGCGACAAATGTTGATGTTTGTTAAATATCAACACTGATGGAAGACAACACACTGCTCAGTAGATCATTTCACACTTTATTCTGACTGGCGTTAAGAGCCTTTATTGTTCAGGGCTGTGTCCACTTAATACTACACTATATAATTATATGACACTTTAGTTAATATAAAGCGTAGCATTGAGGCACTTCAAATAATTTCATCTCAACATGTTACATGACATCTTGACAAAGTTCATAGGCAGTTCTCATCCTGCATGGTGATGGAATGGAACCAACAGATCAGACAAAATGTCCTGACACTTTCAATGAAGGTTTAATAGAAGGCTATTAAGATATTATTACTGGTGCAGAAGGAGTTCAGTTTTCTAAGGAGGTCCATTGTCTGTTGCACCTCGGCGTTGGAGGAGAATCTCAGGTGGTTGTCGAAGATGGTCTCCAAGTACTTGTACTCCTTCATGATCTCTACTGGTGACCCATGGATAAACAGCCCTAGCCATCTCCTTTTCTGCTGGAAAAGGTCACTACCATCTCTTTGGTTCTGCTCACATTTAGCTCCAGCTGTGACGAGTCACACCATTCATCAAACTGATGAAGCGAAAGAATGTGAGCAGTGGAAAATGAATACGGAGGCAAGCAAAAGAAAAATAAGTGACTTGAGAGAGAGGGAGAGAAACAATGCAGTCAAGTGAAAATCTAAATACACCGTTACTGTTCAAGATAAAATAACAGCCAGATGTTACTAATCAAATACACCTGATTAATTGATCATCAGCAAGAGTGAGCACCTCTATAAAAGCAGATGTTTTGGCAGTGTTCTGGACAATGCTACAGGAGTGGGTATTCCAGTAAATTCACCCGGAGGTCAGATCATGCAATCTGCTGAGAAAGCACAAAATGTAACGTTTGAAGAGTAAAAATTATGTGGAAAACTTCAAACTGTATCAGGTAATACAACAAATGTATTATGTGTAATCAAAAATGAGAGAAATCTTCAAAATATGTTGAATCTCCAAGATTTAAAGATAACATTCAGTTCCCTTCAGTCTGAAATTAATTTACTGTTTCAAGGCTGTAGCAAATAACCCACATTTGTCTTTTACTATGTGGTGCTAGTAGTAGTAGTACTAGAAATAATAATAATAATAATAATAATAATAATAATTAATTATTCCCCTCCAGTGTAAGCACATCTCACTAAAAGTAGTCAGGAGAACTGAAGGATTATCATGGTCACAAAATATATTTTCAATTGAAATGCTCTTCTTATTTTTAAGACACTGAACACTAAAGTAGTGGAGCCGTGCTTTGAATCTATGGATTTATTGTTATCTCAACCAATCCAACAACTTCTTCAAAGAACAGACAGATCCAGGATCAGTCCAAATCATCAGCAGTTTGATCCACGTATGGATTGAAGTGTATTTGTGAAAATGTTGGACTGTTCCCTTATCTGTGTATAACAGTATGCGTATGAGAACCATGTAATGTCCATGTGTGCATGTCTGACCCTCTTCCTCCTTTCAGGGTGGAGCCTGCTGGAACCCAATGGTTAAAACCAGGCCTGAGGAAGTGTAAGTGTGCTTTTAATGTGATTCATGAAAACAAAGCAGCACACATTGACCATCTTCAAACTGTCACATCACTCATTCACATCTCTCATGTCAGGAGTCATCATCAAAGTGTCAGTCAATGAACAGATGATGGATCAATAACTGCAGCTGGATTGTGTTTGTTCTCTCCATCAGATTCCTGTCAACTCACAATCGACACAAACACAGTACACCCAAACCTCAAACTGTCTGACAACAACAGGAAGGTGACACGTGTGGACGAGGTTCAGTCATATCCTGATCATCCAGACAGATTTGATGTTTGTTATCAGCTGCTGTGTAGAAATGGCCTGACTGGTCGCTGTTACTGGGAGGTCGAGTGGAGAAGAAGGGTTGAGATAGCAGTGAGTTACAGAGGAATTGAAAGGAAAGGAGATGGTGATGACTGTGTGTCTGGAGAAAATGATAAATCCTGGAGTCTGAGGTGCTCTGATAATGGGTCTCATTCTGTCTGGCACAATAGCAGCAAAGTATCCTCTGCCTCCTCCTCCTCCTCCTCTGTCTCTAACAGAGTAGCAGTGTATGTGGACTGTCCTGCTGGCACTCTGTCCTTCTACATACTCTCCTCAGACACTCTGATCCACATCCACACCTTCAACACCACATTCACTGAACCTCTTTATCCTGGATTTTGGTTCAGGTCTTCTGGTGCCTCAGTGTGTCTGTGCTGAGTTAAATGTAAAGAGTGTCCTCCTGTTAGGGAAACACTCTGGCTGTTCAAGAGATAGTTCAGTCTGTACATGTCTGTCTCTTTCATTCAGAAACATGATTTCAGATTCATGGATTCAATCCGTTCATGTTTTAAACTGTTCTAAATGATTCCTTGTAAACTTCTTCCTCTTCGGTCCTTTAAAGATGGAAGCTACCATTATTCCTTTGAATGGAAAAAGCTACCATTTTGTCTTTTTCCATTCAAAGTTTCACAGTAAGTAAGTAAAATGTATTTATGTAGCTCTTTTCACAGAGGATATCAGTATGTTGTGTATTTCTGAAGCTCAGTTCACAACCACAACTCCTCTGTATTATAAACAAAACTGAACTCATTAAAATGCATCCAAGTGTTTGATTTCTCTTTCTTAATGGCATTTTACCATCATGACTGAATAAGCAGACATCCAAACGTTCTCAGTGTATAAAATATTAAAGACATTCAGCATCTCTCATGTTTCTGTCATTCTATAAAAACACCTGCTTTTAAAAAATGATCCAATCACAGAAACATGAACTTCCATATCAGATCAATACGTATGGCTCTGATGTCACTAACATCTCCTTGAACTCTAAATCAGAGTTTCCCAACCACTGTGCCGCAGCACATACAGGGAGTGCAGAATTATTAGGCAAGTTGTATT